AATTCATATAACAGGTAAGCATGCCAACCATATACCAGATCGTGTCCCTCAATATTCAATATTCTATCATTAGTTAAATGATGCAGTGGCACTATCTGTAATTAGTGATTTTTTAAATTTTTTTGATGTATCTAAGCTTGTTTTGCCTCACATACTAGGAATAAACATATTATCTGGCAGGTGGTAGAAATGTTACATTATATGAATTCTTGATGTATATAAGCTTGTTTTGCTTCAACTATTAAGAATAAACACAACTTGGCAGAGGGATAAAAATATTGCTTTACATGAAAGAAATGCAGTACTCCTCTCCTGATCATGTTAACAGAACCAGATGCTGTTGATATCTTTCTTCTCTTCACCACCATCCTTCTATTATATCACACACAAAATTGGTTTAAAGAAAGGAAGATAAGAACATTCCTCTGCCTCTACCTCTTCAATGGTGAAAAAGTTCGGGTACTGATTGCCCGTGCCCTGGCTGGGTCTATGACAATTTGCCACATCCAACTCACCTCGGCCAACTTGCTGCAGGACAACTCACTATGGGACAAGAGTTACACTAATATTAAAAAAAATAGTGGAATGCAATCATTAAAGAAAGGATGCAAAAGGAGAGACAGAATGAAATGTGAATGGCAAAAATTAAAATAGTTGATTTATTTAAGTAATTAAATAGAATTGTAATTTGTCCCACAGCAAGTTGTCCCACAGTGAATTGGCCATGGCGAGTTGTCCTGCAGTGAGTTGGCCATGGTGAGTTGGCCACAGTGATAGTGAATTGGCTGCAGCAAGTTGAGTGTATCAAATAGTCTCATTACATCCCTGGCTGTAGATATTGAGGCAAGGCAAGAGAAAGGTAAGGCAAAGGTTGCATGTTCATATCTGCTGTCTTCTACTTGTCATATAGTTGTAAAGGATAGAACACCTGAGCCACATGAGAAGCTATGAGCGTGTGTGGGAATGGAAGAAAGGTCAAAGAAATGCAACCGAGAAAGGCCAGGTAAAAGGCAGCTGAGCCTGAAGCAGGAATGTGGAAATGGCAAAAATCTTAAAAGGAAATCACTCAAATCTTTGAAATCTTCATTTTATGATATAATCCTTGCACAATATACAAGATATCTCTATCTCTATATTAGCAGTGGTACTTGAGCCTATCTCCTTCAGCTGCATCCCCCTTAGGTCCACTAAGTTTGTTCAGTTGGCTTCTTTCCCTGCCTTAATTATTTGTATGCCTATCTAGAGGAAAGAAGGCAATTATGAAGTAGGATTTTGAAAGCATGGGACAATTAATAGGATAAGATTAAATTGCTTTCTTATGCTTCAACATAAGTAACGGAGCAATTACACCATTGGAAAACAAATGGATCTTTCTTATTGAATTTAATGCTGTATATATAGGATGTGCAAAAAAGCAGAAAAAATAGAAAAGTATTAAAAAAACAAGTTCATATCAAGTTCAAAAGAAATGGAGAAGAGAGCTGATGTCGCAATGGCACGACATGCGATCTTGATGCTCCAAGATCGCAGACGAATTTCTGCCACTGGACAATCCATTTGGCCCTAAACTGTCCCGCAGAGATGGTGATTGAGAATGGCACCTCCTGCTGATCTCAGGGACACCACAAAGTCCCTGAAAGATCCAGGAATAGCCTTTTTTTCTGGTGACAGAAACACAGCTAATGAAGCTGCTGAAGTTGGGACAGCTCCGCAATGGGAAGAAAGCGGAAAGAGAAAGNGATGTCACTCATGTCGGGGGCACCTGGGGCGCCCAAGCACCCCAGATCTGAGGGGCAGTGTAGAATGGCCCATCAGTTCAAATAGAGTAATAGACCAATATTTTTCAACTTACAAACTTTCAAGACAGGTGGACTTCAACTCCCAGAATTCCCCAGCCAGCAGGAAATTGAGAAGCTAGCAAGCTGGAGCATTGTGGGAGTTGAAGTCCACCCATCTTCAAGTGGCCAAAAAGAAAATAGGGATTTAATATCTATACGAAGCCACAGGCTTGGGGGACAGTATAGAAATGATCCCTCAGTTCAAATAGAGCAATATTTTTCACAATTACAAACTTTTTAAGATAAGTGGACTTCAACTCCCAGAATTCCCCAGGCTGCTGGCTGGAGAATTCTGGGAGTTGAAGTCCTCCGATCTTAAAAAGTTTATAAGGTTGACAAAAACACTGGTAGACCTCGACTTACGACCACAATTGAGCCCAAAATTTTCACTGCTAAGTGAGACAGCTGTTGAAGACAATTTTGCCCCATTTCATGGCCTTCCTTGACACCGTTGTTAAGCAAATCAGGGCAGTGCTTAGATTAGTCCCCACGCTTGTTAAGTGAGTCTGGCTTCCCCATTGACTTCGCTCATCAGAAGGTTGCAAAAGGGGATCACATCACACACACACACACACACACACACACACACACACGGGACAATGCGACCGTTGTAAATAGGAGCCAGCTGCCAATTTTGATCACGGGGAATCCTCCACCGGCCACAAGTGTGAAACGGCAGCGTTCTTCAGTGCCGTTGTAACTTTGAGCAGTCTGTTGTAAGTCGGGGACCACCCGTACTGGTCTAGTTAATTGGAAGCACCCCCTTTTGTGCCGGGGAGTGGGGGGGCGGGGACTCTCTTTAAAATAGAACCCACTTGAACGTAGCAGCACACAAGTCCCTAAGGAGGTTTCGCCTGAATTCACCGTTTTTGTGCCCACGTTGGAGGGCAGCCTCTTCCTCTCCTTGGGTCCTTCTCCTGATCTGGGCTGGCTGAGGGGTTCCCCTCTCCTCTGGCCGGCCTTTGGGAAGCCAGTCCGGCCGAGCCAGGATTCCTAAAAGCCAAGCAATTGTCCACCACCTCTGGCTGAGCCGCCGGCCCTTCTCACGCTGCCTCCCTTCGGCCTGCAGGTGAAAATAATGACCGACAAGGAGCTCTTGGCCGTCGCTTGCGAGCAGTTCTTGGGGAAGAACGTGCAGGACATCAAGAACGTCGTTCTGCAGACCTTGGAGGGACACCTCCGGTCCATCCTGGGTGCGTATCGGCCGGGGGGGGGGGGGGGTTAGGGGATTGTCAACAAGCAAAATCAATGGAGAATCCGGCCGGATT